TCCGCATGTCTGACACACATGCATCCACGGTCCACAAGACAAGATGACCAAACCTCAGTAATTCCTGGGGTTATTTCTACGTCGGAAGTCGCGTAGCACCTCGTATGCGAATGCAGTGCGTATGCGTACGTGTGCAAAAATGCGCGTATGCATACATATATATATATATTTTTTTTAATATATATATAATCCTAATACTACCGCTTAAGCAGCATTGGCCGCGAGGGGGAGGGTGATGGTCCGCTGCGCCCTGGATTTGGGTTGAACTTTTGGCGAGGGCGGGGGAGCATGCAGAGCGGTGTGCGTACTGAATTGTTCACAGCGCGCCAGAAAACGAGAGAGCGAGCGCGCCCAGTGGGCCGGGCGGCGGCAGGCGTAGATGCGAGGGAATATCTTGAAGCGGGTGCCGTTGAATAGCAAGAAATTGTCATTTTCTTTCATTCGGAATCTTTCCTTTTTTTCCCTCCGTTGGTTGGGAGTTCTTTTTAATTCAATCATCGTCCAGGGCCAGGTCTTCCAGCCTTTGGGTGGTACGAGCCCCAGAGGGTAGGAGCCGGGCGGTTCCGATTGCTCTTTTATATTGGTGGGGAGCTGCACCTGCTGGAAATGGGGTCCAGCGTCCCTTCCAATGGATAAATCTTGAGGTGACTTCTCAAAGTTCAGAAACTTTATAGGGCTGACAGCAAAAAAAGGGAACTCTTCACCCTAAGGGGCCTGAGATGAGCCAGCTACTAGCCTACTAGTCCCACTCCCCACTGTGCCCAAACTCGAAAAAAAGTTAATAACCAATTCTGAGGGTCAATGAATTATGCATGTAGCCCAATATCTGAAGACTAGCCCAATATCAATGAATTATGCATGTAGCCCGGGCTCCCCGGCTGCGTGGGGTTTTATGTGCAGGTTTGTATCTGGCCATGTTGTCGCGGGAAGTTCGTTCTCAGTTTGAACATTTTGAGAGATCTGGCAGGTGCTTCTCGCAATGCTGTTGCGGAGATCCGGCGGGTGCATGTTGCCATGTAAAGGCGGGAAGTTCAATTTTTTGTTTTTTTTCGTTTTTTTTATTAAAGCAGCACATTCATTCAATTATATTCAAAACACGTTTGCATATGAGGCCACAATTCAAAACACGTTTGCATATGTAAAGGCGGGTACCTCTTTTTTTTTTTTTTTTTTTTTTTTTTTAAGGCCACAACTCAACCCGGGGCAAGGTCTCACTTACACGAATTATTAAGCGATATTTACCGTAGATAGCAAAGATCAACGGCCAGAATCTCTTAATCCGTGCAAGTGGGACCTTGCCCCGGGAGGGAAGTTCATTCTCATTTTTCGTATTTCGAGAGTCGTGTGCCGATGCCCACGGTGCAGGTTCGCCACTGACAAGGCGGGCGGCAAGACGCGCGCCGTTAGAATGTACGCAATGGCATGTATAGTGACCTGGTAATTGTCCGGGTACATGAATAAGACATGGTGAATTAGACTGTATGCGGACAGATAACCGTTCACATACATGGCGAATGACACGTACTGCAGAGAGGAGTTTAGGTGCATGGCCGTGCCACCCTCCCCACCCGGCTGCGTGGACGGGGAAACTGCACCTTTGCATCTTCCCGTCGAAGCCCACCGATGCATCCACTGCAGAGAGGAGTTTGGGTGCATTGTGGTCTGCCACTTGCCACTTGGAAGGGTTTTACGGGGCTAGGACTCTTCTTTGTAGGGTCTTCAAGTTTGTCTTGTTCTCCTGGGAAGCTTCTCTGATCAGCTGTTCTCTTGTATCTGGTCCTTTTCCTGGTCTGGAGCGGAGGCTTCTGGAAGTTTCTTCGCCTCCGCAACCCTTCAGTTGTCTTCTGGCTTTTCTTTTACCTCGCCCAGCTATCAAGTCCGATGCTCGGACGACCGGTAGCCCGATCATTCCGCAGCCTCGGACTTTATTGCCGAGCCTTGGATAACCGGGCGTCAGCGAGTGTCTTTTCCCTGAAAAAGAAAAATAACTTTCGGGATGCAGTCCCAAGA